GAAAATCAATGCTAAAAGAAAAAACTAAAATTGTAACATGTATGTACCTTAATTATTGCTCCAATCCAAATATTATAGTCGATGAAACTGAAATAGTTCTGGAAAGATACTTGAAAATATACTTTCAGGGGTTCCTCGGAAAATCCTTGACATTCTTTGGATTGGAATATGCCGTTCATGATAAAAAATATATGCTCCACTGAAAATAATCAATAATGAGTTTACTGTTTTGTACTGTACTGTGTCTTTGGGAGATTGAAGTTAACTAAAAATCATTTGGAGTCAATAAAAGTGGCGCCATCTGTGTGTTAGCCCACGAACTCTTGAGCCCACCTGATAATTTCACTTATTGTCTCTTACATAAGATTGCAACTGTTTTGATGGAGAAATTAAACTATGACATTTGCTTACTAACTAAAAGGAAACCCATTAAATCACATTTATACGTTTTGTGAGAAATGATCCTGATTCCAAACATTACATACAGTGTACAAAGGCAAATAGCTAGAGGACTACCCCAAACTAGGGGTTAATTTTATGGTATTTTGTGAAAATATTATCTGAAAGACATTTTCTTTGGAGGATTCAATGTTTTTTACTGTTTTTTTTGGTGCATAACGAGTATCTGGAATAGTTTTCAAAGCAGTTTTTGAAAACAGTAACTAAAACATACAGATTCCACAATCATTACAAACCCAACAACACATGTTTCCGGTTTGTCTGGAAAATTGAGACGAATCAGTTACAGATATGGTTAGGTTAGGTTATTTTAGGTTAGGTTAGGTTAGGTGAGCTCTGTGGAAATGGATCGTACGTGGTTGCATTACAGAAAAGAGAGGTTGAAAATAGAAATATGAACCTAAACTGACGTGTGCCAAAAGAAATGTAGATGTTTGTAATTCAGGCGTTGATCACAAGTGATTTTTTTGGGTTTTGAAAACAGGAAAGAGTTATTTTCCGAAACTCCATCAATCTAAAGAGCCAAGTATAGAAATTTCACGTTTAACGTTGATTATAAGTACTCAATTTGTTGACAAAATTCATGAATACAACAAATTGATGACGAATAGGACTATTTAGTAGTTTTTATTACGCAGTCAATTTTTGGTTGGTTTTCAATATATTCCTTATCGTTTTAGTTTTGTTTGTTTTCCAGCTTATGGAAGATTAGACACTGAAAAAACAGCAAGAAACTCATATTTACCTGTATTTCTCAACGGAACATATTAGCATAGGTACATACCTATTCCTAAACTCATGAATACTGCTGTAATGACGACGAATTTTCTCTTTGCCTTAGTTTCAGTAAAATAACCTCTCATAGACATCTCCACCGCAGACCATTCCCGTAAAATATAAGACCAATGACGTGCTATTTTAATGAGCCGCACTGAAGCCAAAAACGTGCAACTGTAGAAAACCATTTGTACTACAACAAAAGAAAAATCACAATCGAAAGTATGGCTTCAGATACTGTGAGATACTGTGAGATTATACTTTCCAATGTAGCTTCAGATTGCGCATCTTAACGACCAATGCACAAAAATCGGAATTTTCATTTTTTCATATTTAATTTTGAATCAGCTATACAGGGTGTAACATGAGTACGTTCAAATATTCAAGTAACGTATTTCTGAGACAATTGCGAGAAAAAAAGTCTATGCAAACTTGTGTCCGGAAATGCTTCGTTTCGGAGATACAGGGCGTTGAATTTGCTTGTTCGGTTTGTTGGAGGTTGAATAGACACTAATATGTCTTGGCACAATCATCCTTCATAAAGCTCAGACCTTCTTTGGAGTATTATTCTCATGTATGAAGCTGCAGCCTCAAGCATACCATGAAGCTGCTAGATTTCATCCAGCCTAATGACTTCGACAATTGCGGAACTATTTAAAAGATTCGTTACCAACTTACCAGTTTGAACCACGATCAAGCCATTGACGAAAAATTTAACTATCCAGAACCCAGTACTGGTGAGTGTAGCTGCAGCGTTGAACACTGAATAGCACACTCTCAGGCTTCCCCACTTGAATGTGACATCGTCAATACCTTTGCTAATACCATGCAGAGGCATTACCCCAAAAAACTGCGCCATGACTACCAAGAATTTTATATTCTCGTGAAAGCTATTTTGCTGTGATGGTTTGCTCTGACCAACATTCACAGATAGCTCGCTTGTAGCTTTTTGATTTACTTCCATGATGAGAGTCGCGGATATTCTGTAATTCCGGAATCCTCACGGGTGGTGTTATTTCCACAGGGATTTTCTGTGTTTGTTGAATCGGTCTTATCTAGGTTTGATATTCAGGGTAGTAAACATTTTTTCCGAAGCGAATGTTTATCTAAATACAGCTTGATCTGATATGCCGTGAAATGCTATGATGGATGTGTAAATGTTTATGGATATATCACGTGGCATAAAGTGTCGAACATTTGATGAATGGAAAATATTTTGTAGATGGCTTTGCTTCTGTCGAAAAGTTCAAGGTTAGGATCGATATCTATATCTGATTAAGTACAGTGGAGATACCAAACGCAATCGTAAACGCAAATAAAAACAATTTTTCTGATGTGGACTAATATAAACAATTTTTCGAAAGGAAAGAAATAACTGCATGAAGGTAATTGAGTTGAAAAGAAAATGACAAGTAAAACATAAATTTTAGGGCTGGAAAATAGTTTTTCATGAGTCCAATTGAAGCTGGACCTCCTATTAAAAAAAACTGCAATGCAAAAGATGAAGAAAATGTGAAGATCTACAACTTTTGTATGGACTATTTTTCTGCAACCTCTTTCTGGTTTGAATATACTGCAATAGAAATATTCTTTATTATTTCACTAGTTCGGACTTCCATTGTCTACTATATAAAATGATTTGATTGTGGCTGATTTTTGTCAGAAGGACACAATGGGGTGTAGCAGTAAGTGAAAGACTCGAAAGTGTAGGAAACTGCACAATAGTGTAGACAAAAACAATCCTGTTAGTATTCACAATTTTTGATAATTATGGGGATAGTGACACAACATAAAGAACTTTTGTAATTTTTTGAATTCATAAATTATGAATGACTAGTGAATGAATTATCATAACAAGTGCGGTTGGGTGTTTCTGGTTAGATTATTTTTACATCAATGGGATATATCCGTCCAAGATCGTTGAAGGTTCGGTTATAAAGATAGAGGTATGATCGCAATGCAGGAAGTTAAAAGTTTTCAACCATATAATTTATAATATTTCAAAACTTATTACTTTGCGTTTCTTTTCCTAACGTCTAGGGTATCTAGAACACAAGTCTGTTATATCAATAGTTTTGACTTTGTTACTTCACTTTACTTTTTACTACTTTGCATTATAATAAACTGAGGGTTATTGCAAACTTTTTTCGCTTTTCTTTCGCTAGCAGATGGCAAAAAACGTTAACTATTTTAAAAAGAAATGAAACATCCGTCGGCCATACTGTTGAAGTTTAGTTGTGGGGGAGAAGAGCTACATATCATAGTTTCGAATTCCGCCTTTCACTATTTTTTCTGTCTAGGTTTCCTTAGCCTTTGCTTCCGTACGGCGCATTTAGCCAGCTCAATTCGTGGGTATGTGTGATTGACGACTTGTTTACTTTATGGTAATTCATGATCACTTGAATGAAATGAATAAAAAACACGGGTCAAACCCGAAACCTGTCGTATAAATAAAATCTACCAGTGATATTTACAAAAAAGTGTTTTTTATTCATTTCATTTAAGTCAATTGTTGTGTGGTAGTGTGCCCGACTTACAATCGGAAGGCCGTGGGTTCGATTCCCGCCTCGACCAGATATTTTTCTAGAGAGAATTTATCTGATTGAAGCTGGGATGATTCTGCAACCGTGTTAGGATTCACACATTGAAAGGTAAGACCTCGTTAGTCCTTAGCTTGCACAAGTTTCTCAACTTCTGAGAGTTTTCCTTCGTATGGGGGTGATAGCTGATTAACGGAAAAAATATTCTAAACAGATTTTTAAATAGTTATCAATAATCATGCTGTAATCTGTATTGCTTCTTGAAATATAGTCGTTCTTTTGTGACGTTTGATTCACGCCTTTCTATATTCCAGTCGTTTCGGAAAACTAAGTGAAATTATATCACTGTGCATTTTGTTCTTTTTGGAGAATTATTATTGAATTATGAGTAAAACTCCAGAAGTTGCTTAAATTTATAACATGAATTTATTGAAGACAATAAAACATTTTCATTGTGGAAGTATTTTATTTGCATTAAGAAAATAATTTCTTTAATAACTAGTTTTTCAATTTTGAAAATTCTACATGTTACTAAAATGGGTACAAAAATATTGCATGAAATCTAAAACTACTTCATTAGAGCAACGAAAAACTAAAAAATTAATCATATGAATTCAACGACACATTGAAACATTCAACATTCAGATCATATATCGACTTTGACGTCTTGGCTTAGGTAACATGGGATACACTTGTGAAAGCTGGGTTGCGCTTATGTTTAAGGAATTGTAGACCATGGACCTATGAATACTAGGGACGGAGAGTTAAGGCGCGGAGGGTGTCAACATCATCACGTTGTAGAGTAGGCAACACTGCAGTGAAACACGAACAGCAATAGTAACTAGGTAACTTTTTTTATGGCTTCCTTTCTCACACAAGTGAAAAACGAAGACAAAACAGTAAATGTTTGACCGGTCAATGTTTTGTTAATTGATGTGATTTTATTATTTCAATTCTTTTCACCACATAGTTAGTTGTTCCCAAGACTTGACGAACTAACATTCGACAGTTGATATTTGCACCATCTATCAAGATGTGGGTCAACCTCATTTTTCGCGTCGAGAGTGTTTGACCAATCAAAAGCGAATCGGTTAGCACACTAGGGGCTGTGACTAGGGTTTCTATGCATCTTTTTTCGGATGTATAAATTGATGACACATGTGTGAAGATCCATTGAACGTATTGTGAAGTGTTGCTTGTATCCTACTTCCTATTGTGTGCTGAGAAGAAGATATTTCCATTAAATACAGTCATATGACTTCATGGGTTTTTGCTGTGCATTTACTGGGGCAAATTGAAACAGCATCAGTTCAAATGTAACTATCGTTCCTGCCATCTGAAAAAAATTACAGCATTATTATCTACACTGAAACTGATATCATTTCAACATTACCAACTGTAGATGAAATGAATATTATAGGTATATCATTCTGATTTGAAAGAATCCCCAACAAACATTATGAGCACGGAAAATGTGTGGCCTACTGGGGCATCTGCCGGAGACCTTCCATCAATGCCAACAGAACATCAGCCCAACGCTTTTTCATATTACTTTACCGGTATCAATTTTTTTTTGATTGACATAGTTTTCCTATTTCTACATATTTGTTCCAAATGGACCGTTATATGACCGATTTGTTGGAAAATCTCAACTACCGTTAACATTTCTAAAGATCAAAATACATGCAGAAACAATATCATCATATTAGATTTGTCAAGCTGTCAAGTGTCATACTTCAGTGTATATGAAAAAAATTTCGAAATCAATAACTTCAAAATGGGTATTTAATTTTTTTTGATTGGTACTACTGAACACATTTATAGGGAGTTGTGACTGACGTTTTATGATAATGCGTGATTTTTAATTCCATTAAAAATATAATTAATTAAAAAGTAAGTGAATGGCACGTGGATGTCGTGGTCGGAGCGGAGCCCAAAAGAGAGGTGTATTATCAAATAAAGTTAAGTTCAAATACATTTCGAAGTGAAAGATGACTGAGTGAACTGGCGACCCCCTACGCCAGTAACCAGGCTGGATTTTGATGAGTTCGTCAGTACGACAATAGATGTCTTATTTTCTTCGAAAGCCTCCTGAGAAGGAGGCGACAAGTGAACAATTGAAGTGTTTTTGGAAAGAGAAAGTGAATGAAAAAATTTAGTGTGGCAACATTGCTTCGTGCAAGACAACTGCGCCCCCGGACGAAGCTTCTGTTCACTATGGTTAGTTAGGGTCTGGCCAAATGCGCTCGAATGAGAGGCAACAGCCATAGAACATTGAAATTCATCAAGTAATTATTTCCATTATATATAGTATGAGTGAAAGTTAAATATAAAATGGGTGATTATCTCATATACACCACACATTGTTTCTTCAGATGACTTCGAATTTGAAGTATTTGATTTCATATGAGATATACAGAAGTAATGGAAATTTAACTTTTTCAGAATGTCTATTCTAAAAGGCCGCCTAAACTACTTATGATAAAGTCTGCTTCGAGGTGTATGGACGGTGGTGGAAGGATACCCGCTTGGTTAGCGTCTCGAATTCTATCTGATGGTACCGTGGTTCAAGTCCATCAGCCGGACGATCGATTTTCACTACGTATCATCCAACCCGTGCACGTTAAAAGGTAAGACCTCATTAATCCTCAGCTCGCACAAGTTTCGACTACTATATGCTTTTTCTTTCGTAAGGGGGATACAGCTAGTTATTGAAAGATATATTCTGTGAACCGTATCGAATTTGTTCGAAACCATTTGTCAGGAATAATAAGAAGAATTTTTGCCCCTGATAAAAACGAAGGAAGATAACAAATACAACATACGAGCATAGAAGTTGAAGTAGAAGATGGAGATAGCTGATTTACTTTTTTTTTAACTGTTTGTATGATTCAAAAGTAATATTTTATTTTTGTTTCATTATAGATTCCCTTTATTTTTATACCTAATTTTTTTTCTTACCCACTTGCGTTACCCACAGTTACTGGTTGTTGGTATTTGAACCTACCTCTTTCAGTAGGTTGAGTAAATGTAAATATTGTAATGATCGAGTTGAGCAGAAAAGAAATTTCTAATTTACAGAAAATTAAAGTTTACCTGAAGTAGAAAATTCTTTGTCACCAGAAAAAATCCAGATCCAGATAATCCAACTGGGTTAGTACATATTTGTTCAATCAAACGAGCCACCTACAAATAAGTTTATCGGTAACTCAAAATTGGTTTTGAAAGTGGATTTGAACAACAATTTATAACTTATAAAACACTATTACAAAAAATGGAGTGAGCTGGAAAGTATGGCCCTGTAAATTAATGAAGGAATCACGTTAATCTGTTGATTTCCGATAATTGAAAATCGATTTCCTTCAGAGTATCATTTCTTGAACTAGGCAGAAGCGAACAACAAACATGTTTGTCATCGCCACATCTGCCTGTGAACGAGGTAACCAATCGCATTTCCCAATTTTCTCGTATAAGGAAGAAAACTTCACAAATTTAGTGGGCATACTTATGCTGATGCTAGACACTACCTTGCATTGACGAGTGGCCAAACAGTCCGAAACCGGTCTGCAAGTGTGCTCCAATAAAATTGAAAATCGATTGCGGCAGTTGTACCGCCAACAGCATATCCAGAAATAACTTCAGGGAAGAATCCTGCACTGACACCTGTCAGATATAATCCAACGCCCTTCGTGGTATTAGCTAGGGGAATAGTTGTTTTCTGATAGGTGTCAGTCCATCAACCTACAGTGTAGGGAGTGGAGACTGGCCTGAACGAATTATTTCGCCATACTATAGCCTTTTCAGACGTGTCTTCACCAACAGGTAGTTGAACATAAATAAGTGTACTACTAATTATGATTTTATCAAAATTAGATTGAATTTAGTGAAAATATTTCTCTAATTTCAATTTTTTTTTATATTATCATGAATTTTTTTAATTGATCATTCAACATTGTGAATTTTTACAGAAAGAGGAACAAAGAACAAAGGTGTTTCTCAGAGAAATTAACTGAAAATGACTTATGGATGGAGCCGTTACTACATGGTAGGAGATCACCATCAGAAATGAGAACTGAAACTTCTTGTGTTCTATATCACTTGTATTTGTAACTAATGTTACTGCAGTTCCGTCCTTGAAAGACATTTTCCAAGAATTTCAAACGAATTGTTTAGGTACAATTTTATATGTATAGAAACAATTTTGTCAAACACAAACGACTGTGATAGCTACACCACATTTTTTTTACAAAAACACAATATTCTTAACTTTTTCGATCAGTTGGCAACGACTGTAACATCTGCTCAATTTGTAAAGCGTTTATTGTACGCCTGTCTGCACCGAGACTAAGTGTTATGTTTGAAATATCATGGATATTATTACAAAAAACATTTAGAAATATGAACTGTTTTGCCACTTCTATGTTCTCGCTTTCACCATTTTGGCGAATTTGTACACATTGGCGAATTCGCCATTTTATACGAAAACGACATTTTCTGGCCTGTCTAATTTGTAGAGCGTTTATCGTACGCCCGTTTGCACCGAGTATCAGTTTTGTGTTCGGATCATAATATGAATATTATGATAAAGAACATTTGAAAACATGAACACTATGAATTGTTTGACACACTATGTTCTCGCTTTCACCATTTTAACGAATTTGTACACATTGGCGAATTCGCCATTTTATAGAAAAAGAAAATTTTTCTCGCTTGCACCATTTGTAGAGCGTTTATTGTGCGTCTGTACGAGTCATAGTGTTGTGTTCGGAATATAACGGATATTATGACATGAAATCATTTGGAAATATGAATTGTTTGACACTACAATGTTCTCGCTTTCACCATTTAAACGAATTTGTGCACATTGGCGCCTTCACCATTTTATAGAATTTTTTCTCGCCTGCCCAATTTGTAGAGCGTTTTACAGATGTTTAGAGAGAGGTAGGAAAAGAGGCAGCTTCGAAGGAGTCATTTATATAGTGACTTTGGCTAAAACAGTCAAAGTCACTTTAGGAAGATTATCAATCGGCTACGTCGGTGCGACGTGGGTGCTTCGTTAACTCACTTGAATCGACCGCCGTGTTGGTCGGTGGTTCAAGCCCCAGGCTGAACGATCGATTTTCACTTGCTATCGTCCAACCCGTTTTAGGAATCACACGTTAAAAGGTAATACCTCGTTAGCCGCACAAGTTTCGACTTCTGAGGGTTGTCGTTCGTAGGGTTACGACAGTGAGTTGACGGAAAAACAGATTTTGACCAGATTCAAACAGATATTTTATTAAATCCAGAGGCTTTGTTGTTCTTAATGGTTTTTATCGTGTTTTTGAATTCTCTGACATTAATTGGATATAAAGTAAATTTATCGTTGACAAATGTGTTTTTTGCGTTTATGAGATAATCATATAGAATTACGGTGTTATTTGTCAGTTTTTCAGCTATGGTACAGTAAAATTGGTTTAGATCATCTGCCGATACTGAAGTATTCAGTTACTTTCCTTATCTCATTTACCATGGACTTGTTTCATGATTTTTTTAGACACGATCAATTTTATTGGTCAACAGACACGCGGCCAATTTGAATTCTTGCTTTTCGAATTATTCTTTTTTCTGCAAATATAAAGAGATTTTGGGACTGATTAGGCTTGATAAGTATTATACATTCCTAATTTGATCAGTCTATAAGCAAACCAGTAACATATTCCATAGCATGAATCGAGCCCATTGACCAGGTTTGTTTAGATTTGTCATCAGCTTTAGCAATCCAAAAATGAAAGTCACTAAAATTTTTTGTATGCATGCAAATTCTATTCTGTTTCAACAGTTTTGAATAACTTTATAGTTTTAGAGTTTGCGATTAGTCCAGGTGTATATTCCAAGGGATTAGTTATTTGAGAAGATATTTTATCGGTATTCAAACAAAAAAACAATATCTCACCTTAAACTATTGTAAAGCTGAATACACAAAAAAAATATGTTGTGAAAATAAGAAACCAGTACTAAGAAGGACAGATGTTTTTCCAAAGACTTGCTCAGATTATACAACTTCTGGTAGTCGTGTCTGATTTCTTTCCAGAATTTTTCGTGAGTCACCTGAAAGAACATTAATTTTTGTATGACATAATGAGTAATGAATTTATGCGACTATATTCGTGGATGTTTACCATTTTACTGACCTTATTAATTTCCAGTCTTTTGAAAATTTGCTCGAACTTAGACGTCATGGCAATGCTTATGAGTGTGATAAAAAGGTCTGTGAAAATCCATGTAAATGTTGAAATGGTATTGGCAAACTGAAATTGAATTCAAGGGATCTTTATCAAAATTTATATAACATAATTTGAGCACCCTACTCTACTTATTGTTTTTTAAATGTCAGAAAATCAATGCTAAAAGAAAAAACTAAAATTGTAACATGTATGTACCTTAATTATTGCTCCAATCCAAATATTATAGTCGATGAAACTGAAATAGTTCTGGAAAGATACTTGAAAATATACTTTCAGGGGTTCCTCGGAAAATCCTTGACATTCTTTGGATTGGAATATGCCGTTCATGATAAAAAATATATGCTCCACTGAAAATAATCAATAATGAGTTTACTGTTTTGTACTGTACTGTGTCTTTGGGAGATTGAAGTTAACTAAAAATCATTTGGAGTCAATAAAAGTGGCGCCATCTGTGTGTTAGCCCACGAACTCTTGAGCCCACCTGATAATTTCACTTATTGTCTCTTACATAAGATTGCAACTGTTTTGATGGAGAAATTAAACTATGACATTTGCTTACTAACTAAAAGGAAACCCATTAAATCACATTTATACGTTTTGTGAGAAATGATCCTGATTCCAAACATTACATACAGTGTACAAAGGCAAATAGCTAGAGGACTACCCCAAACTAGGGGTTAATTTTATGGTATTTTGTGAAAATATTATCTGAAAGACATTTTCTTTGGAGGATTCAATGTTTTTTACTGTTTTTTTTGGTGCATAACGAGTATCTGGAATAGTTTTCAAAGCAGTTTTTGAAAACAGTAACTAAAACATACAGATTCCACAATCATTACAAACCCAACAACACATGTTTCCGGTTTGTCTGGAAAATTGAGACGAATCAGTTACAGATATGGTTAGGTTAGGTTATTTTAGGTTAGGTTAGGTTAGGTGAGCTCTGTGGAAATGGATCGTACGTGGTTGCATTACAGAAAAGAGAGGTTGAAAATAGAAATATGAACCTAAACTGACGTGTGCCAAAAGGAATGTAGATGTTTATAATTCAGGCGTTGATCACAAGTGATTCAAAATCTACTGCCAAAATCAAATTTCACATAAAACGATAAATAAAAAAGTTTCCCATTTGATGCGGACTTTATCGGTGACACTGTATATAAATAAGGAGAACACAGTCAGGATTCTTTCTTATTATTATATATCTTATTATTATTACCTGTGGTGGTGAGGAGCCCGCCCCTGTCGTTGCCCCCCGAGTAACTGTACACTCTCTTGGCACGGGGGCTGGCATGAAAATCGAGCTTATCGTCGTCCAGCTTTCTCTTCACTCCAAGGGGGCTGGGTCGGAGCACTGGACTAGCACTACGTCTGATAATCGTTCTCGATCTAGTCGGGCTCTGAAAGCCCATCCGCGTGGGGGAGGGGGAATTGCACATAAAGGGGCCGCCGCAGGTTGGCAGCGATATTTGTAGGGGTATCATCCTGCTGGTTTTTGTCGACTCGTTGCTGTCGTTCATTATGCTGAGGTCCTCCCACGACTGGGATATCTGCATGGACTGGTGGATTTCCCGTTCGTGGGCGAGCTCCCGGGTGTTGCTGATGCCATCATGTTCCTCTTGGCGCAGTTGGTTGATCCTCGGCGTCAAGCGAGGGCCTGATACCTGCGTTAGATGAATTCATTAAAAACAATAAAGATATACGAGGGTGGTTTGAAAAGTTTACAACCTTACAAAGATACAGTGTGTCTCACTTCTCATGGAAACACCCCCGTATCTTCCGTAATATTCAAGGTAGAACAATGAAACTCTCAGGACTGATGGAAATGCTCAAAATGCACCTACAACCTGAATGGGGTTGGCCAAAGTGATATACACTGTCCGCCACTCGCGATGGAACACCCCATTTTTACGGTAAAACATATTAGGGGGCAAAATAGGCTCAAAATTCCTTCAGATTCGTTGTTTTACCGTAAAAATGGGGTGTTCCATCGCGAGTGGCGGACAGTGTATATCACTTTGGCCAACCCCATTCAGGTGGTAGGTGCATTTTGAGCATTTCCATCAGTCCTGAGAGTTTCATCGTTCTACCTCGAATATTGCGGAAGATACGGGGGTGTTTCCATGAGAAGTGAGACACACTGTACAAGACATTTTTCATATTTTTTTTTTTATTTTATAGCATAGTCTCCTTTCAACTCTATAAACTTCTCCCAGCGATACTCCCATCTCTGTAACAGTACCCGGCGTTTTTCTTTGTTCACAAAGGTGGTTACCTCTTTATTTGACAAAAATCTCTGTTCACCGAGCGCAATTTTCAGATATGGGGACAAAAAGAAGTCGCTTGGCGATAAATCTGGTGAGTAAGGCGGATGGTCAAGCAGTTGAAACAGTAATTCGTGGGTTTTCGCCATGGGAATCGCTGAGGAGTGAGACAGTGCATTGCCGTGTGAATGTTGACATTTATCGGCAAGTTCTGCCTTCAGCTTGCCAAGTAACGATGCATAGTATGCTCCTGCAATGGTTTTTCCTTTTTGAAGATAATAATCAATCGAAATAACTCCTTGACTATCCCAGAAAACAGCTGCTATCACTTTCCCAGCTGGCAAAACAGTTTTTGCTTTTGTTGGAGCTGTATTTTTACTTCGAGCATGTAACGGTGTAGCCAAGTTTCATCTACAGTAATTATTCGGCGCCAAAACTCGGATTTATTGCGCTTAAACTGCGCCAACATATTCATTCCAACACGCTTTTGGTCTAACGTGAGCAAACGCGGCACCAAACCCGCGAACAGCTCGTCTCATGTCTAAATGTTGATTAAATATGTGACAAACACGTTCTTTCAACATGTTCATAAGCTGCTATCTCTCTCACTTCAAGTCGGCGGCCGTCTAGGACCATTTGGTGAACTTTGGCGATGTTTTCGTCGGTAGTTGCAGTTTTTGGACGTCCCGAACTCTCATCGTCTCCTAAGCTCTTACGACCAAGTTCAATTACAGCTTCCCAAAATTTCAATGTGGTAAATGACGGTGCAGAGTCCCCATACACAGAATCCAACTCATCTTTGATTTCCGTAGGCGTATTGCCTTCCATAAACAAATATTTAATGACAGCTCTGTAATCGATTCTGTTTATTGTTATAAAAACTCTCACATCAACTCTCTCAAACGACTGTTACATAACAGCGCGTCCGAAATGGCTACAACTTTGTTGAGTAACTATCAACAGATGAACAAAGAAATTCACTTGCTTTTTACTTACTTTAATACCAAGAAAACACATATTATGAGGTATCATCATGTTTAGAAAAATATTTCTAATATATCAGTTAGTGTTGGCAAGAAAAAATTAAGTTACACTGACAAAGCAACATTTTTAGGCATCACACATCCACTTGAGTAACTGTCAAGAGATTAAAGATATCCACAGCTTCACATTTTTGCAAAAGTATTATAGGTCTTTTGTTTGGAGGAGACATTTCAAGTCAAAATGATTTAGCATATATTCATCTTGATCTATGTTTTTCATTCAGGTAATCACAGTCAGTTGAAGTAATGCCTAACATAAGTGATCTGATCAGAAACTAAATTGGTTAGACATCAAGGTTTTTTGTGTACATGATTGAGGAATTCTAACTGTTTTCCATTAATAAAGAAATCATACTGGTGGACAACATAACCTCAAAAGGTTTCATCGACTTGAGGTTTGTGAAATAAAAGGACAAGGATAATTTCTTTCGGTGATGGTCAAACTATACAGCACTATGATGATGGTAATTCATAATAACATAAACTGATATGAAGGATATCTGAAATCCCCAAAAAATTAAGGTATATCAAGGAAATAGCAAACAAAAGTAACCCATTGGAAAAAAACTCGACAAAACTGTAGAGACCTTTACTGATTTCTAAAGCAGCATTGGAAAATCAATGGGGAAAAAAATATACCCAATCATAACTATTGACAAAAGAGAAAAATGAACTATTTCATCAGTTCGGACTTCCATTGTCTAATATAATATAAATTGACTTGATAACCCTGAAAAAAATCAATCAAAGAACATTATAAAAGAATAAAAAATGTGGAAAATTCTCAGGAATAGACTGATTAAAGTTTAGACCATTCTTTAGAAGCTTAGCCATATTACGAGGCATTGTCATACTTTTCAATTTGATTTCAAAAACCGAAAAATTTCCTAAATGCCTAAATACTGTCCTGATTATACCAATATACGAATAAGGTTTGAAATAAGAGGTATCCGAATATAAATCTATCTCATTAATAAGTTCAAGTTCCAAACATTTTTGAGAAACTTTTGAAAGAGCACTCGAAATAATTTTTTGAAAAATATATTTTTCAGAAAAATAATACAGATGCATAAACATAGAAAGGCTACATTTCTAAAATATTCCAATGAGTTAGAATAAATGTTCTCATTTCTCAGGAGAATATTTAGTATGGTGTACCTCGCGGAACTATAAATGACCCTTTCTGAAACGTTTAATGTGTTAGAATAGATAAGATTTCAGTTCCTAGAAAGATATTCAGTATGCTTAACAAGGAGCTTAGAATTTTTCATTTAAATAATTCTATATATTCAACATAGAGAAAATCAACCACTAGAAATAAAAACTGACTGATCCTTGTCTCTAGGTGTAGAAAAACTAGTTGTGTAGTGAACACCAAAAGACAAATAAAGAACAAACTTGTAAGTATGGTTAAATGAAGCTTCAGGATTGAGGATTTATCAAATCATAGACGAAAAGGAAACTTATTGTTTACACGTCTAAATGATAATAAATTCTATGTTCCCTTGTGAATGTCTGTATTATTTATCTTACTCTATTTTGAATCTTTCCACTCAGAATAATGTGCGATTGTGATACTTGCCGACAGACTAAAGGGTTTAGCAGTCATTCACTATCGATTTGTGTGCATATATTCGAATTATTCTCTATCGTTTATGCATGCATATACAAATTAAGACATATTGTATTTCATAATTCTTACCGGTGAACCTGGGACTTGGCTGAAGCTGGCGCTAAACCTCCTTGTTCTTGTCTGTGAAGAAGATCCAAACAACGAACTAAAGGGTTGCTGTTCCCTGAATACAAAAAACGTAAGGGTAAACACCAAGAAAACATCAAAATCTTACCTATTGGGTGCAGTAGGATTAACTGTAGTCATCACAGTAGTAGATTCATTAATCATGGGGGCACTGGAGCACCTTTTGAGAGTCCCGGGTCCGTTGCTAGGACCATCAACGTCCATAGCCACCGAGTGGGAATTTGTTAATGACATTCGGGAACTCTGGAACCCCTTTTATAAAAATTAAAGGGAACATTTGACAGTAACCTCTTCTAAAAGTTGAAAAATTCCGACCGGTAGATCCTGTTGCGCAGATTTTTTGAACAACCACTTTTCAATAAAGCTACTAGAACTGAACCAATATGAATTTCAGTTAGTCGATTAATCCTGTCAAATGATTTCTGGCTGATTACTGGTTATAAAATGTTTTCGGGTGCAATTCCGACTTCACGAAACATGAAACTAAACATAAAATGACAGTTGACAATTGACCGGTGATGTGGAAGCTGATCACAGAACTAAATCCAGGAGTTTCATATTAGAGCGAGTTCGTAAATTTACCAAAATCAATTTGTTGGTTAATGGATTACAATACCGACCAAGCATCTTCAGTTCTGACAGGCTGGAGCCTAGCTCCCTTACCCTTGTGGCTGATTTTTGTCAGAAGGACACAATGGGGTCCAAAGTGTGTACAACTACGAATAAAATTCCTACACCACTAGATATAACACAATATATAATTGCCACCGAATAAATATCAAATAAATTATGATGAATTATATTCTGTGTAGGAAGATAATAATATACAAGTGTGGGCGAAACCCCTGATATATAGTTCATTGCAAGAGACAAAATGTTAAAGTTTCTAGATAACAACTACCGCCTTTCACATAAAGTACGATTACATTTGTTTGGCTTGTGAAAAACGAATAGAAATATATGGTTTTATACTACAACATTGTTCGTTCAAGTAGGTAAGGTTCTTCTTCGACAGTTCATGCAGCGTTTTGTTAAGAAAACATTTGCATTTTTTTTTAATTAGATTATGGGAGACTGTTGAGTTTATTCAACATAAAAATTGCACTAATATGATAAAATGAAGAAAAGACGCAGAGATTTCTAAAGACCCTAGGCATAAGAAGTTGAAATCAAAGCAAATATAGCTTGAATATTATTCAATTTGAAACGTTTAAGAAAAAGGTTTTAATTGGACTTTTTGAAACAGGCAAAAACAATTGCATTAGAATTTTTTACATTTTCCAAACCAACGTTCGAATTCAGCTTTAAATTTTTCTTCGGTATAATACCTGATTGTTTTAAATAGATTAATTCGATATTATTAGACTGATAGGATAAGCGGGAAAGAATTCTTAAGGTAGAGTTCTACTTTGTGTTGAGTGACGATAAAGTCAGCAGAATTATGTATAAAATAAAATAACAGTATGCCTACGGAGATCTTCATAGCATAGTAGCAAATCTCTGCGAGCTTCTCTGAAAACAAAAACCAATGCTCTGGAGCATTTCCTCAATTTTACGTATTAGACAAAAACCAAACTTCCTCAACATCTAACTCTCCAATTTTGGCACCCACCGAAGCAGTAACAGTCTCCCGTTACAAACACAAACTGTAAGGAGTGTCCCTGCAACGGTCCCGCCTTAGCTGGGCCCCTCCGCCATTTCTTGATCGTTCTTCGAGTTCAAAATCGACTCGACTGGAATTGCACGGCTAGGAGAAGGACTATCTACGTTCCTGAGCATAGCCCACTGACTGATAAGAAAAAAAATAGCAATTTTATAGAACGAAATTCTTATGTGGGATGAGCTGAATGAGAAACTAAGCCTATTTTCCAATGAAGAACTATCAACAACTTATAATTGCAATATTTTCGGCAGAACGGGGAATAAATATATTTCCTAACTATGAAAAAAACTGAGCGTTTCAGAATTGAAATCTACTCAATAACTCATCATATATTTCAAAAATTCAACGATTGAAAATGTTCAACACTTAATTATTAAAAAATCCTTAACTATAATAATATTTTAAACTCGAGTCTGATATTTTGGTGTAGGAATTTTACTTTCATACCATCTTTATCCAACATTTTCAAGAACCACATACCATTTACTTTCTAGAAGGCCTATGAACTGCAGGCAACAGCCTTTTCAAATTTTTTTAAACATATCATTCCCCGTAAGACATAGATTCAGTTGTGATTTATTAAAACAAAAACCCTAATTCAACTTGAAAACAGTATATTTTTAAGAGAGATTAACTTTTGGCAAAAAAGTTCTGGCTTTCTACTTCTCTATATTTAAATAAAAAAAAACTCTC